TATTTTTGTGTTTTATTTAGCTATGTATGTGGCAATTCAAGCTGTTCTTTCACTTTATGCAAGTGGTCGAACAACAGGTGTTGTTTTGGATAGTGGTGATGGTGTATCTCATACAGTACCGATCTATGAAGGTTAAAAATATTTTTCTTCATGTTTCTTTTTTTATTAAATTAAATATTGAATTCTGTAGGTTATGCTATACCACATGCCATTACTCGTCTTGATTTAGCTGGACGGGATTTAACTGATTGGATGATTCGTTTATTAACTGAACGTGGTTATGCATTTACATCGACAGCTGAACGTGAAATTGTTCGAGATATTAAAGAAAAACTTTGTTATGTTGCATTAGATTTTGAACAAGAATTAGCAACTACAAGTCGTTCGAATAGTATTGAAAAGAATTATGAATTACCTGATGGTCAAGTAATAACGATTGGTAATGAACGTTTTCGATGTCCTGAAGCATTATTTGCACCGGCTACAGTGGGTCGAGAAGAGTCTGGTGTTGCTCAAATGGTTTATAATACAATTATGAAATGTGATATTGATATTCGAAAAGAATTATATACAAATACTATTCTTTCAGGAGGTAAATTAATTATTTATTAATATAAATATAAATTAAATTTGTTTATTATGTGAAGGAACAACAATGTTTCCAGGTATTGCTGATCGAATGCAAAAAGAAATAACAGCATTAGCTCCATCAGCAATGAAAATTCGTATTATTGCTCCTCCAGAAAGAAAATATGCAGTTTGGATTGGTGGTTCAATTCTTAGTTCATTATCAACGTTTCAAGCAATGTGGATTTCGAAACGAGAATATGATGAATCAGGTCCATCGATTGTACATCGAAAATGTTTTTGAAAACAATAAAAATTATGTGGATAACTGTTTATTTTTGTATTGTAATAAAATTTTTCGACGGATATCAACTACATCTAATAAAAATGCTTTTAAGTGATTTAGTAATCGAAAAGTAATATATAGAATCTTATGCTATTTCTGCTCTAGTGATTTTGGTTGTTTAAAGAAACTTTTACTGACTTTTCTTTTTCATATTGAGAATCTAAGCAGAGTTAATCTTTAACGTTCATAGTATTATTAATTTTATAATAACATATGTATTCGAAATTGTTGATATCAAAGTTCGAATAGAGAAACAAGTTAAGATAAAAATTTATTCAATGTAGATTACGACAATTATTATTCGTTTTACTAATTGAATAAATTAGAAAATCGAATATTGGATACATTATTAAAATATTGTCTTTTCATAAGACTCAGATGTCATTCTTTATCAAAATGAAGCTGAGCATATGTTCCATATCGGATCTGAATTCTTATTAATAAACTGAGAGGTAGGAAGCCATAGTATTTCAATTAATACTAATCATCATTTGATCAGTTAGGTTTAAGTCCATGAACTTATAGACAGTTTTCGATGCAAACAGATTTTTTTATGCATAAAATTGTCCATACCTTGGCTAATTCAAACTTCATTGATCAACTAATGATGCTATTGATCCTTCTGAGTTTACCAATAAGCATCGAAATCAAAGATCGATCTACGAATTAATTCGAGTTTTAATATAAATCCTCCGCTCAATTCGATATTAGACGTGTCCAATCTCAGATCTGAGATTCAACGTTAGAAAGCTGCGAATCCTTCCAGACCTAGGTCCAAATTCACAAAAACGTAGACTCGCAGCTTCCTATTTGAGTGATCTCGTTTACATAAATACAACTGAAGATTGTGATGTTACTGTTAATTTGACGAATTTTGTTTATCAATGATTTCATCTAGCGGCAGTAAACTTAAATGTACACGTTGATAATGATCGATTTTGATTAATACATTATAATATTCGAAACCAAAAGTTTTGTTTATCATATATCTAATAGAGAAATTAATCCTTCTTTGGTATGATCACATTGTGAAACATGATTTCCTTTTTTGGTCTGCTATACTACACCCGTTTACCTGGATTCACAAGGAAATTGTGTAATTTCATTTCATATGACTCAATCGCTAAAGAATTGAAAACAAAATATGCCTTATATGGTCATACAAAATCAACCAAACTATAAATAGTGAGTATAATGTATTTTCATCTACGCTATATAAAAGGTTATGAATGTTAAAAATAAACAGTAATATACAATTGCAAACAAATTCAACAAGACAATTCAATTGAAACAAAATGCCAGCCAACACTGACGATGATTTATGTCCAGTTGTCATTGATAATGGATCTGGTATGGTTAAAGCTGGTTTTGCTGGTGATGATGCACCACGCGCTGTCTTTCCAGCTGCTGTTGGTCGACCACATTATATTGCCATCATGCCCGGAATGGGTAATAAAGATTCCTACATTGGAGATGAAGCTTTAGCAAAAAAAGGTATTCTAACAATTCGTTATCCAATTGAACATGGAATTGTTACAAATTGGGATGATATGGAAAAAATTTGGCATCATACTTTCTATAATGAACTTCGTGTTGCACCTGAAGAACATCCAGTTTTACTTACAGAAGCACCACTAAATCCTAAAGCTAATCGTGAAAAAATGACACAAATTCTTTTTGAACAATTTAATACACCTGGTTAGAAAATTTTGCTTTATTATTTACATAATAAATCTATTTTTGTGTTTTATTTAGCTATGTATGTGGCAATTCAAGCTGTTCTTTCACTTTATGCAAGTGGTCGAACAACAGGTGTTGTTTTGGATAGTGGTGATGGTGTATCTCATACAGTACCGATCTATGAAGGTTAAAAATATTTTTCTTCATGTTTCTTTTTTTATTAAATTAAATATTGAATTCTGTAGGTTATGCTATACCACATGCCATTACTCGTCTTGATTTAGCTGGACGGGATTTAACTGATTGGATGATTCGTTTATTAACTGAACGTGGTTATGCATTTACATCGACAGCTGAACGTGAAATTGTTCGAGATATTAAAGAAAAACTTTGTTATGTTGCATTAGATTTTGAACAAGAATTAGCAACTACAAGTCGTTCGAATAGTATTGAAAAGAATTATGAATTACCTGATGGTCAAGTAATAACGATTGGTAATGAACGTTTTCGATGTCCTGAAGCATTATTTGCACCGGCTACAGTGGGTCGAGAAGAGTCTGGTGTTGCTCAAATGGTTTATAATACAATTATGAAATGTGATATTGATATTCGAAAAGAATTATATACAAATACTATTCTTTCAGGAGGTAAATTAATTATTTATTAATATAAATATAAATTAAATTTGTTTATTATGTGAAGGAACAACAATGTTTCCAGGTATTGCTGATCGAATGCAAAAAGAAATAACAGCATTAGCTCCATCAGCAATGAAAATTCGTATTATTGCTCCTCCAGAAAGAAAATATGCAGTTTGGATTGGTGGTTCAATTCTTAGTTCATTATCAACGTTTCAAGCAATGTGGATTTCGAAACGAGAATATGATGAATCAGGTCCATCGATTGTACATCGAAAATGTTTTTGAAAACAATAAAAATTATGTGGATAACTGTTTATTTTTGTATTGTAATAAAATTTTTCGACGGATATCAACTACATCTAATAAAAATGCTTTTAA